GCATGGTCGGGCCGGCTCGCTGTGTCCCAGGGGACCCACTCAAAGGGCTGGGGGCGCAGGGAGCCAGGAGGAGGGCCCTGGGGGCGCTACTCGCTCGTTTGTCGCCTCCCTCACTATGGTGGCCCCAGGTGGACGTAAAACACGTCCAATTTCGGTAGACGCGATTTCTTCTTACCACCTCTACCACTGTCTGTACACTTGGCTCAACGACGCCAGCGAGGTCGAGACGAGCCGCGGGAAGGAGCCGATCAACACGGCTTGCCCCTGCTGCCGAGGTGAGGTGTCGAAGTCGAAAACGCGAATGCTGGCTAGATAGATGAGGACTTTGCAGAGTCGCGCTGTACGCACATGCGTGTAAGTGTAGACACTTCGACTAGCAACATCACACAGAGCGCCCCGGGCGGATTCCCGCAACGTTTCCCTTTCATCTCAGGCCTGTGAAGCCTTTTCTTTATTTTTGGGCTACATGCACATGCACATGCACATGTACAAAAACGGGGTGATTTTGGTCATCCGTCAAATATCTGAAGATCTGTCCGGGGGATTCTCCCCAAACCTTGCTCAGCTGATCCAGCACGGGTCGTAGGCCAGGCCTGGGCAAAGAAACCAGTACCTCATCAGGCTTCCCTGAGCGTCACAGCTCGGTGATCGCGCCGGCCGGACACCACTGTGACGTCCGTTTTTGAACGCGAGCGACCTTCGGGGGCAAAGACATTGGCTCTATGGCTCAGACTGGACTCCTCTTGGTCCCTTCTGATGCCCTAGGCCACACCTGGGCCTTACCTGGGGTTCTAGGGGCCGGTCAGGGTTTGCCCCCCGAAAGTGGCCCGGGGATAACAAACCGCGCGATTCTTGCATTGCCGTTCTTAACGGAGTCGCTTAGGCGGCTCCGGTGGTGAGCCTGTGTGTGTGCCAGTCCGCGCCAGTCCGCGCCCTTGTCGTGCCAGTGTGCTGTGAGAGAGGCTTGTATTTTAAAGAATTCTTCTTGCCTCTAACTTGTACGAATGGCCATGTCGGGACCCCAGTTTCGCCCTCTTGTTGGCTTCCTGGTCGCGGCTATCCTGGTCGCGGCTACCGCTGCTCCGGTCCCCGCCGCTGCCCCGACCCTCGTCTGCAAGACAACGGTCCAGGTCGACGACTCCAGCTTCACGATTGAATTGCGGCCCGACTGGGCGCCCGCCGGCGTGGAGCGTGTCCTTGGGATGGCGAAGTCGGGCTTCTTCGAGCAGCTTCCCTTCTTCCGCATGCTTCCCAACGTGCGCGCGACGCGCGCGGCGGCACGCACACACGCACACACCCACGCACAAGCCACAGTCATTTCCCACCCTCGCCACTCTCTCCGCCAGTTTCTCGTCCAGTTCGGAATCTCGACGAGCGCGGAGAAGCAGAGGCACTGGCAGTCGCAGGGCAACATCCGCGACGACCCGCGGCCGGCCGGCGTGCCGTTTACCGACGGCATCCTCTCGTTCGCGGGCTACGGGACGGACTCTCGCTCCACCCACCTCTTCATCACGCTGGGCAGCCAGCCCGGCCTCGGCCACAGGCAATGGGAGGTTCCCGTCGGCCGCGTGGTGAGCGGGATGCCCGTGGTGCGAGCAAT